TCTGTTGTCAAACTGGGAAAGCTGGTCTGACTTTGTGGCCGTGTTATCTAGTGGAAATCGCTCTGTCATTTTTATTTTCTGCTAAAATTCTACACTGTTCACTCAATTTCAGTTTATGTTCGAAAACAACCACTGGTGGACCAAAACTGCTGTTTTGAAGCTGGTGGACCAAAACTGAAAGTAACTTTTAGTTTTGGTCCACCAGCTTCAAACAGCTGTAAAAATGATATTTTTAAAGATATTTCACAACAATTTAGATGGTACACTGATGTCCTACACTATTCAGCGCTTGTTTTCTCACCAACTAAAATTGAGTGAACAGTGTAGAATTTTAGCAACTAGGAAATTACTGATTTCCACTAGCTTTCCCAGTTTGACAACAGATGTGGCTCCGCCGGAAGAGAAATCAATAGGCAAATTCCTCAGTACAATCACATCACTGGCGGGTAAATAATACTGTGAAACACTATCATTCCACTATTAGCGACAGATATATTATGGACATTTCCTGAAGTACAATGCAAAAAAAAAAAAAAAAAATATGTGTAGCACCTTTTTAATAGTGGGTCACTGTCTCATGTTTAAATGCCCTGAAATGAATTCCTGAACAGCGGATTGATTTAATGCCTCTGATCTGTCAAACCAAAGTGGATGACCTATTTTCTCTCCCTCCATCTCATTCTCTGCCTCTGAAATGTTCCCGAAATGGGATTGGATGGTTGGGTTAGCTAGCTGCTGCAGATGAAGTCCTGTTAACACAGAAACGGCTCATTCCACCTGCTTCAGCTAAGGGCTATAGCTGTATTTTACAACTTTATTACTTTTTCCTCCCGTTTTGTTCTGAAGGAGGGAGTTGTAATTGGGGGAATGGGAGCGAGGCAAGGTTGTAAGTGATGGCTAGGTTAAGTCCTGTGCACTAACCCAGAAACCGAAGAACTCTGCTCTAGCTGGATTGATTGGTTAGATTTGACCACTTCTCTTTTTTTGTTTAGGCTACCAGTTTATTTTTTCACGTTCTTGAGGAGGTGGTTGGAATTGGAGGATTTTAAAAGTGGTTTTAAACTAATGACACTGACTGGTTGAAGAAGAGAATGGGTGGCGAGTTGGGTTGATGACTTGGATCGTAGGTTCGTTCCGCTCGTGGAAACATTAGTAAGTATGAGTATTTTAAAATGGACTAACAACATGTTGTCTACTGTCACAGTATCTTCCGGTAACATAACTTGTGGAAAGTGTTTAGGAAGTGTGACTTGGGCTACATAAATAAGCAAATGACAACATGTTGATTTTATCCTAGTAGAGTAGACTACTAAAAATGGACATACCTTTACACAGCCTATGCAGCAACTCTGTCCTCGATTTGCCATTGTACCAAAACAACATAATGGTAAACGACAATTAGCCTAAATACAACCTAATGTTTTTTTTTTTTTTTTATCCTGCATGTAAGGGTTTTGGAGCTATGGTGAGGGTCTTTACAAGGGCATATTGTGTGGGTTTTGGAGCTATGGTGAGGGTCTTTACAAGGGCATATTGTGTGGGTTTTGGAGCTATGGTGAGGGTCTTTACAAGGCCATGTTGTGTGGGTTTTGGAGCTATGGTGAGGGTCTTTACAAGGGCATGTTGTGTGGGTTTTGGAGCTATGGTGAGGGTCTTTACAAGGGCATATTGTGTGGGTTTTGGAGCTATGGTGAGGGTCTTTACAAGGGCATATTGTGTGGGTTTTGGAGCTATGGTGAGGGTCTTTACAAGGCCATGTTGTCAAGTGGAGGGATGTTGCCTCTGACCTCTTTGCCGTATCAATGGGATTAACCATGTAGTTTAGGATGTAGTACATTGACTTGCACAAGGCTGCTTGGATACTTATCATATGTTTTGTAGTGAAAGGTGCTCAGCCAAGTGAGACGACCACTCTGTCTCTATAGGTGAGTGAACTAACTCCAGCTGTGACTTTAGAGGTTGAGACAAGGGTATTGTGTTCAGTATATAGCCTAGCCTACTAATCGTGTGTCAGTCAGTCAGTGCTGGCACAATAATTGTGTAATCAACAAACATGGATAAGAACCTTGAACAAAAAAAATATATTTTGTCAATTGTTCATATATTCATTTTAGGGGGTAACATTTTATTTTCATGTTGATAAGTTAACCCAGTATATGTTTTAAATTTTTACATGAAGAGGGTAGGCTAAGGTTGGTAATTATTTTAGGAGCAGAACGTCACGATCGGGAGGAAAAGCTTCATTTTCAAACATTCCAAGCGTTCAAAACCATTCACGTTTGAGACCAAAGCTGTGTGGTACTCATTATGCTAAGTATGTCGTAGCAAATTTTTTGAAGATTCATTACAAGCTCAACATTTTTTTTTTCTACAAAAATGACAGTTATGACAATCGTTACCCAATCGTCATAGCCCTAGTGTGTGTGTCCCGTTGCCTTTGATCAGTACAGTATGTCCAGAGCAGTCTGATGTTGGACAGGACGGATAGTAGTAGTAGTAGTAGTATTTGCTGACTGACAGACCCCAGGGCTGAAGTACAGGAGAGTATATTTTACCCTATCCCTCTCCTCTGACCGTTGCCCCAACATGTTAACACACCCAACTGTGTAGTGTTTCTTGCTTGGCAACTGGCAGACCCTTGTGCCTGTTATATCGTTAAAGTCTAAATGTACGTGCATTCTGTTTTAATGTGTGTGTTTTTTTAGATTTGTTGAGGGGGGGCTTCAAGATGAAATGGAAAGTCTGTGTGGTTGTGGAGAATTAGGCTAGCTAGGCGTATATAGAAGGTATTGGTGTTTGATCACTGAAAATGTCAAAGATTCCCAGTAATTTACATTTTGGAGGAAAGCTACGTTTTAATGACCCTTCGAATCCAAAATTATACTTTTGTTACATTGTTTGCTAGCTCAGCTGGTTAGCTAGCGCTGTCTCATTGCCCACCAAACGTTGCTAACGCTAACTAGCCACTTAATATAGCATGTTATATTAGTCAACTAAGTTAACAATGTTATGAATACGACTCCCATCTGCTGTCGACATCAGGATGCGATTTGAGAGCACTAGTTGGCTCCAAAACGTGGTTATAGGGCTCCCGAGTGGCGCAGCGGTCTAAGGCACTGCATCTCAGTGCTTGAGGAGTCACTACAGACCCCCTGGTTCGATTCCAGGCTGTATCACAACCGGCCGTGATTGGGAGTCCCATAGGGCGGTGCACAATTGGACCCAGCGTCGTCCGGGTTTGGCCGGTGTAGGCCGTCATTGTAAATAAGAATTTGTTCTTAACTGACTTGCCTAGTTAAATAAAGATTAAAAAATATATAGCTTTGATGGCATGCTGACAGGGAATTCGGAGCCATTTAGTGGCTAGCTACACTACAAACATAATTTTACCAGGTTCCTGTGAAGCAATTGTAATGACAGTCCTCCACAGAATACCCAAGAGTTTCCTGATTAGCAAGGGGTAGTCTGTGTTTAATTTCATTGTGTTTGAGATCATTGTGAGGGGATTTCGCCAGTGGTTGAATGGGGAATTGGGCTTTCTAGTAAAATGTCAGAGGTTGCAACAATAATCAAGGCTTAGCGAAGGGACAATTGGGCCCATTGGCAGAAGACTAGGGCCTATGTGTACTTACTCTATCATACATTTCCAGTGAATGCAATGGGACGCATCTTCAGAGAAACTGTAGTCCACATGTTTTTGGGCCTCCAATGGTTTAAAATTCCACACTTGTAGAATTCGCATTTTGGCGATTCGTGGGTTTATGAAATGTTCTGTTTATTCATGGGATTGGCATTGTTCTGTTTCCACAGGTTTTGAGAGCATTCTAGAAGGGTTGTTTGGGTCGGGGTTGGTGGAGGACCTAACGTTATTTAAAGGTGAGTCCATATGTTGAACTGACTGACACACAAACCAACATCATCACAGTTGCGCTCATTAAAACCTAAATGATGTCCATCCCATTCATAACCACAAATAGTTGTTCCAAGACTCCTGAACTGAAGCCTGCGTTGATTTTTGTAACAATTCCCAGAGGCAAACATGTGAAGAGGTGCAGGCCTAAGTATTCAGTAGGCCTATTTACAATGCAGTGCTACTGTACCATGTGGTACACTTCCACATTCACTCCTCCCTGTGAGACAGTTCTCTTGGCCACTGGAAAGAGAGGCATGCTTTGTCTACATATGAAGTTGGAGTTTGGAGCCAATGTAAAGTTCCAGTACAGTTATTTTAGACATTTACTGACACAATGAAAGGCGTTATTTGGGGTTTTGACGACTTCTGCTTGAGAGCTGTAAACGACTAGACGGGACTACAATACCATTTGTGTTGGTTTGAAGCAAAAGAACAATACGATCCCTTCCAAGAAAATGATGGGGAAGTTAGTTGGGCTACAAAAATAAAACGGGACTTCAGCTAGAACTAGAAGAATCGGGGCTCCATTCAATCTGTCATAATCACCAGGAGTGAACTTGTGCTGCGCTTACACAGGCAGCCCAATTCAGATTTTTGTTCCACTAATTGGTCTTTTGACCAATACAGATCAGCTCTTTTGGGGAAAGATATTGTGTGTGTAAACGCAGCCTGTGTGTCTAGGAGTCAAAAACCTCCTAGTACTGCAAGAACGCATTCTTGTGCTCAACAAACCATAGAACTCAAATGTGCTCTCTCTTCTGACAATAATGTTACCAATTTGAATTAAATATTACTACCTATTCTTAATTTCTATACTTTATGAAGACCGGAGTTCATTTATATAAAACAAATACTGGATTTTATGTTAATGTAACACATTGCTTATAGAAGATTGAGAAGACAATATGAACTTTGGAGAGTGGTTGATGATAACCTGACCATGAAAGCCTATTCCATCAGACATTCTTTATTTCTCTATTTAATATAGATGATTTAATAGGCCCTCTAGACCTAGTTCAACAGTGAATCAATATGAAACTGCCCAACGCCTCTGACTTGGTATATTATCGTACTCAATTATTAAGGTATGCTCTTTGCTGGAGGTTAGTAGGACTCAAAGCAAATGGATTTCCATGGCAACCGACCAACCATGCACCAATTCGCGGTCACTGACCCCATTTGGTAACTTTCTTTGTGTTAATGGTCTGAGATGAATTCCTTGAGCTTGTGTCTGTACATGTCCTTAATCTTTTCTAAATTCACCCTCCCCATGACTCTTAAATGAATCCCCAAGGGGTGCACGTTTTGTTTTTTGCCCTAACACTACACAGCTGATTCAAATGATCAAAGCTTGATGATGAGTTGATTATGTGAATCAGCTGTCTAGTGCTAGAGCAAAAAACAAAACATGCACCGCTTGGGGTCCCGAGGACCGAGTTTGGGAAACCCTGCTCTAATCTCATTTTAGGTATTCATGTAAGCAACCAAACAATCAGTTGTGAATATTGTGCATAATATAGTCATATAACTTAGGAATCACATTCACTGGAAAATACTTGTTGTATTACCAGTCAATTGTCAGTGTGTCAATGTCTACTCATGTTTTGTCTTTCTACAATAAGTGGTTGACTCTGACATCTGTGATCCTTATAAGTCTAGTGAACTGTGTCAATGTAGCCAAGATTTCTAGAGGTTTTCTTCTGTTGCCTTGTTTTTCACCACCATCTTAGATGTCTTTTGTCATACTGCACCATACCCCGTCCTTTCCTTTCTAAAATGTCTCTTCTCCTGGATCCACAGACTGTGAGCCTGAAGGCGTGTCAGACTGGTCATTTGACGAGAACTGCCTGTTCTGTTGCTTAAGACGAGACAAAGTCAAGGTAACGACTTTTCTTTTCACATATTTCTCTTCCTCTATTCTGTCTTCTGCTGTTCCACCCCTAGTTGAGTATGCCTGGTGCATTGTCACACTACAAAAGCAGCAGCAATATTGTCATTTAGAAACACCTTCTTGTTTTTGATTGAATGATTAGATGATTAGAAATTGAATCATTCAACAGTCTCTCTCACAACTGTTGTAAATGTACCTATCTGCAGTGAAGTGGTATTAATATTTTTGAAAGAGAGAAGTTTACAAAGAAGCACCTTCAAAACTGAATGTGGAACAACTAGGACTAGGCTGTATGAATAGGTATTATTCTGAAAGAGACCTAGAGGAAGTAGCTATAGGCCTCATTTATTCTGAAAGGGAGAACGTTTCAGAGCACATTCAGACCTTGAGGAACTAGACTGTGTTATGAATTGTTAGTATTCTGAAACATGGAACTGGCTTTGAGGCCAGATTTGTATTTGAAGGCCATACATACTGAATAGAATCTAATGGAGGCGGATTGGAGGGAGGTTTGCTGAAACTTCACCCAGCAACTGGACCTTAGCCTATAGAGAAGCAGAGCTGTGTCCAATAAAGCAGATCTGCACATAAAGATAAATAAAAAGAACAAACTGCTCATCCTCCCGTACCTCCTGCCTACTGTACTCATCTAGGAACTCTGTCCGGCTTTCAGCTTACTCTTGAAAGTTGTAATAGTAGAATGCACAAGGTGCAATTTAGAAATTGGGTAGTGCGTCATCAGTTTTCCTCTTGTCATGTCAGTCATTGCAAACCTTAGAGAGCTATTTATAACTTGTCAGAAATGTCTGTTAACGTTTTTTAGTTAGGTTTTTTTAGCCCATAGATTTTGTTGTAATGTTTGAGTTCCTCAAATATCACACGAATACACATTAGACATGGCAAAATGTAGAGAATTGCACGAAAATGTGCTATAAATCTGAAAATAATTCTCGGAACCCCATGACGACAAAATGTGTAGAATTACAGTAAATAAGCTTTAAACATGCTAAATTTGATCTCCGCCAACAAGAGGGGTGTGAACCGTTTGTCATAAACAGTGCTTCTGTACATAGAAATAGACGTGCCGCGCGGATGTTCCCCAATGCTGGAAGGGGGGCCTGGGTGAAAAGGTTTGGGAACCCCTGATCTAGGAGAACATAGACATTGCCCCTAACTACAGATACAGGCCAGGGTCAAATATTTTTGATCTCCCTAATGGTTAAAGCCCCCATGCATTCAAGGCATTTATTTCAAACGGCTCTTACACATGAGGGGCATATCATCATTTTCACAATTTCAGAGTTATTTTGACCTCATAGTTTGGAAATATCATTTTTAAAAACGGGGAAATCATGTATTTAACGGCACTGCTCCTTTAAGGTTACCATAGGGGTTGGGGGTAATCTGATCCTAGATCTGTGGTTAGGGGAATCTTCGATCTACCACAAGCATTCTGCTAACCCACACAGCACATCCTTAGCTTGCGCTGTGACAAATCTGCTGCAATTATTCAATAACCTTTCCAGAGATCCACTGGTATGAGCACCGTGTAGGGGTCTGTATAATGAAGATGATGACAGGTGCTCTTAGAATACACTCACCAAGATGATGTTATATTAATTTGTCATATGCCACATCAGGTCTCTCATGCAGCAAAGGTATTTCTATATTTTTATAAAGTGGTTGGTTCGAGCCCTGAATGCGGATTGGCTGACAGCTGTGGTATATCAGGCATATGCCATGGGTATGACAACATTTATTTTCACTGCTCTAATTACGTTGGTAACCAGTTTATAATAGCAATAAGGCACCTCGGGGGTTTGCTGTATATGGCCAACATACCACGGCTAAGGCACTCCGCGTTGTGTGGTGCGTAAGAACAGCATGTAGCAGTGGTATATTGGCCATATACCACACCCCCTCGGGCCTTATTGCTTAAGTTCATGTCTACCATATGCCACAGCATGTCAATGCTACTGCTAAGGTGCTATTCCAGTTGTTTCTCCGTCACTAAGCTGTGTTTCTGTTTCTCTCTTCTCCCAGGAGCACTTAGTTGGCCTGAGCAACCAGGGGTTGGAGAGCGGTGCTAAACCCCTGCTGGTCAAAGACCAGACCAAGATCAGCAGACTCGAGAAACAAGCAGAGGAATTCCTTAATGCAGTCCTCTACAAAAAAGGTACGTCTTCACTTACCAAGAACAGTGTTTGTTACAGTAATTTCTGTAAGATTGTGTATCGACAGGAACATCTAACAGGAATAGACTATGTCTGGAAGTGGACCATATGTGTTCTTAGTTACATTTGAGAAAACTGTTGCTATGATTGAGATGGCTTTCGCTCACAGGCTTTAGGGTCAACTGTCTCTACAGATATCTTTGTAACGTTATTTTTCCCTCTCCCTCCCTCAGATGTCCCCAGCTTCTCAGACCCGCATATTCCAGTAGTGGCTCTGGAGATAATGCAGAGGATGATCCGCCAGTTTGCTGCAGAATATACCTCAAAAACCAGCTCCTCTTCTCAGGACAGCCACTCCGCTCCCAGGCCTGCTCCCCACCCAGACCAAAGCCTGCCTCCTCCCCCCTCGCTGCCCACGGTGCCCCCTGCTGCCAGCCCCGGTGGTACTGCGACCGCCTCCGTACCCAGCCAGAACCCTGTCCTCTCCAAGCTGCTGATGGCTGACCAGGACTCGCCTCTCGACCTCACTGTCAAGAAGCCTCTGCCACAGCCTGTAGAACAAGGTACCAGCAGATGCACTAGTGCTGGTAGTAGACTGACCCAGCAGACACCCTTGTACTGGTAATAGATTTGATGAAAAGTAACCTCTTCCTCACTGTCAAGAGGTTGCCGCCACAGCCTGTAGAACAAGGTACCAGCAGATTCACTACCCTACTGTACTGCACACTAGGGTTGAATGGCGGGAACCCGGTTACCGAGATTTACTGGGATTTACAGCCCAAAACCACTCCCTTTTCCCAGGATAAATAACTGCGAGAAACGGGTAAATTATAATAAATTATTTATATGAACAGCAGGCGTAAAATGGAACTGTTAAATTATATGTAATGTCTAAATCTGGCTTCTCTACGGCCTCTGCATGATGAATCAATGCTCAGAGTGGGGACAGACAGCCCATCTCAGTATGGAGCGCAGTTCACAATGCATGTAGACCCTATCATCTCATCATGGTAGGCCTACATTTGCTGAAGCATAGCCTTTGATACAGTAATATTAAGACCGAATGCGCATCTAATTTATCTCCATCTGGCTTTCGGGGGTCACCTTGTTTTTTTAATTGTAAAGATTATACTTTTTTAAATTGCAGGTGCAGAGTTTTAAAACAGCCTATCACTCGAATATCGTTGCTTTAAATCAGTGCACGCGAGAACACTCTCTCGCAGTCTTTCTCTCTCTCCATCACCTCCATTCAAATTGCATCGAAAATAGATAATCCTGTTCTAGATTTATATATAGCCCTATATATTGATGTCATAGCCTACCTCTTCCAGGTAATACATTCAATGCAGTATTAGTCTTATATTTAGCTAATTAATGATGGGTTATACATAATAAGCTTCTAATTTATAGCCTCTGTCTCTTGCGCAATATGCAAAAACACCTGTGCTCTGCTGGCCTCTCCTTAAAAAACGCTCCTTAGCTCTTGGAGTCCCATGCAGGAAAAGCTAGACTAGAATAGCTTGCTGGACCACATTTTTTAAAAGCATTTCTTATACCAATAGACTATTCGAAGAGGGACGCAAGCTCTTTTTTGCTGAGTGTTAAATACTGCAGCCAATAGAACTCATGGATAGTTTGAAAGAAGAGTGAACGCGCGATGGCGGTAGGATATAGCAGTTATTTATTCAGACCCATAACCATTCAATCTTCGTGAAGAGAAGTGAAAGCGTCTCTAATTTTAGTCCTATATTATTCAAGGATGTCTTTTAGAATGATTTAAGATAAATGAAATAAGTTTCGTTGTCCTTAACTGTTGAAAGCGAAGAAGGAATGAAGCAACAATAGTGAAACAGGAGGTAGGCTAATAACATAAGGGGAATTTTTATGAACGGTGTATATATGCATCAGCCTACTAATTATATAAATAGGCCTAATTCACTATCCTATACTTGTAACTTTGTAGGCCAGATGTGCTGCACCAGAATCACATGTTCTCTTCAGCTTTATCATGGCTTGAACTATGTGTGTAATTTCAGTCCATATAATACAATGCAATACAGTAATACAGTTCACACTCAAAAAGATTAGCCTACTGGAGCTAGTTTCATTTATTTACCCAAGAGAGCATATAGCTAGCTACATCTATGGGCTTTTATGTTTTTCTGTCGTGCGTAATGTGCAGTAGCCTATCATATATGTATTGGATTTTTGGGCTTGGGCTCATTAAATGTAATTAATGTAAGGCTCATAAAATGTATTAAATATATGGCTTATCAGGCTCCGGTAGCATCAGGTTTGAATTTTCATGCTAATCAAATCTCTAATCAAATCCAGACATATTTATATGCTTTATAATGCTTTTGAATGACCCTTCCGGTTTTGGCGGGAAATACCGGGTTACCTGGGAGAAAAGTGATTTATTCTCTGGGTGGAACATTTTGTAAAATACAGGGTAAATATTCAACCCTACTGCACACATACTGCACACCTGACAGAATGGCTCTTGCTTTCCTAAGTTACTAACCCTTGTGTCCTGTTCCTAGATGGAGTCCTGGACCTGTCACTCAAAAAGGGACGGGCCAGAAGCAGCACATCATCGCTCCGCAGCCCTCACCTTTCCCAGACGTCCACCCTTAGAGGGTAAGACAAACTTCCTGTTTCTACTTCCTGTAGGGCTTTACCATAACTCACTCCCCAACCTGTTCAAACAACAGTTTATAACAACCTGTAGGAGCTCATGAAGTGATGGTCACCAACTCTGGTCCTGGAGAGATGCAGGGTGTGCATGTTGATTTGACTGTGTGACAACATTTAAAGTGATTTCACATGTGCATCTTCAAGAAGGACATCTTGAAGGAAATGCTTTGGTATCAGGAGACATTATATACATTATTATTATTATTGGATTCCTTTTAAATACACATGTAGTTAAGATTCCAATGGATTTAAGAAATAAGCTAAATAAACCCCTAATCAGTAGAGCTTTCCATTGTACTAATTACACAACGTTGTGTTCAATTATTTACATTGACCTTAATTTCAAGGTCAAAAATAATTTTAAATCTATAATTCTGTAAACTCTGTTGTGTTTTGCCCTAGGGCAATGCCTCGTGATATCATCACACAGTGGTATGGACGTTAGTGCATTTGAAATGGAACGCGCCGTAATTCAGTTTTAATTTGGATTAATTAAGCGCCAGTTGCTCCGCTCTCTAGCTGCCCTCCTCTCTTTAGGAGGAGCGGAAAGAGGGAGGGAGTGGGAGGGGAGGGGAGGAAGAGAGGGAGTGACGGGAGAGAGCCAGCTGCTTGTGAATATCTCGTTCAGAATGTACAGCTCTGTATGCAGAGATCCACAGATGTATAGGTCCATATATCTAGTATCTACCACTCTCTCTTTCTCCCCTCTCTCTCTCTGATATATTTCAAAGCTGAGAGGTGAGATGGAGAACTGATTGAAGGTGGTGGGAATGTTTAGAAGTGCAAAAAAAGCAGACGCCTGTCAAGTCAAAATATGATATTGGCTTACGCCTCCTAGTGCATTAGCAACAGTTAGCAACAGTTAAGCGCATGCTTATTTTATTTGCCTCTGTGTCCGTCATTATGTCATCACAAATCGCCTTATCACAAATCGATCAATCATTCACCCGTCAATTTAATGTTGGCATGTTCAATCAATAAGACCTGATGATTTGCTATGTTCCATCACACATACTGTGTGTGCCTTCTTGAGTGATAACCTTGCAGATAAGTATTTCCGATTTTTTTTTCTTACAGTAACAATATTACTCAGGTTGATGTTTTGAGTGTTTATGTGCAGTAAGTAGCCCTATAACATCCCATACTACTCAGGTTGATGTTTTGAGTGTTTATGTGCAGTAAGTAGCCCTATAACATCCCATACTGATGCAGGTTGATGTTTTGAGTGTTTATGTGCAGTAAGTAGCCCTATAACATCCCATACTGATGGCTTACTCTTTTATTGCTGTGCTTGTTCAGTGGTAACGTCACTCACTAAGGGCTATAGCTACGTTAGCATTAGTCATTTGGTAACACAGTCATCGTGCCCTGCTCTGCTATTAAATGCCAGACTGCCTTACTGCAATGACCAACATGCCCTCCTCCCTCCCCTGCCCTATCTGAACAGGGCTAATGACCAACATGCCCTCCTCCCTCCCCTGCCCTATCTGAACAGGGCTAATGACCAACATGCCCTCCTCCCTCCCCTGCCCTATCTGAACAGGGCTAATGACCAACATGCCCTCCTCCCTCCCCTGCCCTATCTGAACAGGGCTAATGACCAATATGCCCTCCTCCCTCCCCTGCCCTATCTGAACAGGGCTAATGACCAACATGCCCTCCTCCCTCCCCTGCCCTATCTGGACAGGGCTGGACATTATTAACTTTTTCTTAGATTTTCTATTTTTCTTTTGATTTATTTTCTTTGCCCTGCATATCCTTTTATTTTATTTTGTTTTCTTATTGTTATGTTGACTGACGCATAATTTGTAATAAAAATAAAATGCAAAGCCAAAATAAACACATGAGCCTTTTTTGTTCTTAAAAGGAGCACACACTCACACACATATGATGTTACCTAAGCAAGATAAAGTGATGTTACCTAAGCAAGATCAACCAATAAAGGAGTGGCCAACATCCTCCCTTCCCCAACCCATCCTCCCCTAGAGAGAGAGAGAATAAAGCACTGTGCAAGCTCTGCTTACACCCAATTTCCTTCCATCCAATCAGGCGTTCCCTGAGTGCTGACGGACAGGCCGGGCTGCCTATGTGGAGCCTGCAGGATGGGAGGAGGAGGAGGAGGGAGAATTTCAGCCACTCCGTCCCTTTAAAGCCCACCTCACCTCTCTGTCATGCCCTGCACATCAAACAGGAAGTGAACCAGGATTCCGATCCAGAGTTGTCTCCCAACCACAACCAGACGTCCAGACCCTTCGACCACCTCTCTCTCCTTTCCAGGTACGGCTCTCCGTCCTGGGCCTCCAAGACCCACTTCGGGGCCCTCCTAAAGCTCCGGGCCAACAGCGGAGCTGGGGACCACCTCAAAGACCTACCCAGCTTGCTGGAGGCTGCGGGGCTCTTCACGAAGTCCCCCTCCTGTGGGAAGGCAGTCCTCCAGGAGGCCCCGAGAGACCAGGGGCTCTCTCTGTCCTACTCCCCGACCGTCGGCCTCAAAATCCCCCAGGTGAGAGGCCTAGGAGGCCTAGGGGTGGACCTCTCCTGGGGCTCCCTGAGCTCTGATCCCTACAGCCTCCCCAGCCACCACTGTGAGAACAGCCTGGGGAAGAGGCAGAGGTCCATCCTGCCCAAACACGGCCGCCGGGGAAGCAGTGGAGGAGAGAGGGAGTACTTGGGTTCATCCGACGCAGACCGCCCTGCCTCTGGGGGGCTGTACCCTACCTCTGAGCCCGAGGCAGACCTCAGCAACAAGCAGCTGAGGAAGAAGAGGGGACGATACCGTCAGTACAACACAGAGCTGCTAGAGGAGGCTATAGGAGTGGTGATGGGGGGGAAGATGAGCGTGTCCAAGGCTCAGACCGTCTATGGGATCCCTCACAGCACTCTGGAGTATAAAGTCAAGGAGCGCCTTGGCACCCTGAAACACCCGCCCAAGAAGAAGCTGAAGCTGATGAGCCGCATGGAGGAACTGGAGGATACGGAGGCCCCAGAGGGCCAAGAAGCTGTGGATGCACCCCTGGACCTTCTGGAGTCTGTGTCAGTGTCCGGAGAGAACGGCAGGCTCAGTACAGGCCACTCACCAGACGAGTAAACTCACGACTGAAAGCGATGCAGTACTTGATGATGATGTGATGTTTTTACCCAGTCCAGGTAGTCGTTTGCATTTGCCAGACAGTGGCAATGACTGAGGAGTCTATCAGGGGAGGACAGCTCCTAATAATGGCTGGAACAGAGCAAATGGAATGGCATCAAAACATGTTTGATGTATTTGATACCATTCCACCTATTCTGCACCAGCCATTACCACAAACACGTCCTACCCAATTAGGGTACCACCAACCTCCTTTAGAGTCTATATAGCTAGTACACAATTAACCAGTTTAGTATGTTGATTTATTCCAAATGCACTTATACTTACTCTGCGATCAATCCCGTGAATCAATCGGACCTATTCTTAGCTCTTTAATTGTTTTAATATGTTTGTTAAGCCTACTATAAGTAGCTGTTGTCAAAGTCAATAAGACACAAAATTGTCTCTCTGCACTCTTTTAGATTGCCCCTCGACATTGTTCTAGACATTGTTGAAACACTCCATATTTGAAATATGTTTTGGGAGTGTTTTTATGAAGTTTGTTTGTGCTATCCTTATACAGTACAACCTTTTTTTAATGGTTCAACCTGAAAAACTGCTTTAGATACGGTGTGAACATAATCTAATATTTTTACTCATTGACTAATGTGATGTGTTGGCAAAATTGCAATTGGAGCAATCCCAAATGTCTGCACAGTTATATTTTGTTCAGTGGCGCCCCTTACTGTCCTCTAGGAGTACTCTAGTTATTACATCACTTAGGGCTAGACCAGCGGCCTCCGACCCAGGTCCTGGAGAACTACAGGATGTGCATGGTCTTATTGTAGACCAGCTGAAACAAAAGCTTGCAGACCTTGTAGCACCAAGGTTGGAGACATCCGGGTTGGAGACCCCAACCTCATGTATTTGTTTGTGTCATAAGCATGATGCATGCTCAGCACTCCACAAGTTATATAAAATCAAGGCTTAATCTCTTTCCCTGTCACTGTTCAGCAAATGCACACCTGAGATTGAATAGACCAAACTAAAGCAGGAAGAATATGCGGTTGCAAGGATGCACGCAACCCTTGTATACTACTGAAAATCTTAATGTAAAGTTGTATGTTTTTGTTTGTTGGGAGAACACATTCCCCTGTCCGCAATTTCACCTCCTCCTTAGTTACCAACCAAACCTCAGAGCTATAGACGGGTTGGTTGTTTATCAACAAAATCGCCGCGTGTGCAACTTTGGGGCAAGAGAGACTGGGTTGGCTTAGATTGTTGACAACATGTAAAATATATATTTAGTCTCCAACGTTTATTGAAACATACATTTGCACAATGAGCACTTCTCTAAAATACATCGTTACAGTTGTTGGTTAGCTAGCTAGTGAATTTTAGCCATATTAGCATAGATGTGACATCAGTCAAAACATCTCAAAACAAGACATTGTATCAAGAAGGAGATCAAACTAGCTGAAACAAGCCACCTACAATTCCCCATATGACAGTTTCTTGTCATTGTTGCTAGCTATCTGGCCATCCAGAATCACAACACACGGACTTCTGCCCCAATGAAGCGTGCACTTCGTTTGTAAGCTAACCGTCTATACTCTCCAAAAGCACGCCAGATTACAACCACTCAGATATGTCACGTTCTGCTGTGTAGTGTGACTGGGACATTTCGTTACATGTGTTCACCCGTAGCCTTCGCCACAACTCAGGATAATGTTTGTGTGGGGCTGCAGTACTTGTGTGAATGTGTAGATCTTTATCAGAAATGTATATACTATGTTAGATATCTATACACAAACATACCTCACTCTCAGATATATATATATATATATATCCTACTTATTTCCATGCCTCTTGTATCGTACTCAGAATCATCTGAAAAAGGGGACATTTTGTTTTTTCATCCGCAAACAGACCTTTTTGGGATGTCTTACCATTGAATGACAAATATATGCACCCGACTCTTATCAGGTGTTCTCACAACCTACCTTAACCAAGCATTTATTTACCTGTTTGAGCCTTCTGGACATTTTAAATCTGTGTGGCGCTGCAGTTAGCACAACAAACTTCAGGTGTGAAGTCTTGTAGTCTCGTTACCTCTAGGGATGACTGTCCCTGCTTAACAGAAGAAGGCAAGGACAAGGGACAGGTGGAAATGTTCATTCTTAAACATTTTATTTTTTATCTTAACTATGTATTGAAAGATTGATTTTGTTCACGTGTTAGATTGCAGCTTTAAGGTACAGTATATCAATGCAGTAAATTGATGAGTCTCAACACAGGTTTCGCCATGTGGCCCATAGCACTAAGGAAATTCTGTGGAGAAGTGTAGCATATGCTGAAGCATAGATACTTTGGCCATTGCAGTTTAAACATCATGATGCTTTTAGAAAACATCACATAATTCAATGGATGCCGTATTTGCTCCTCCTTGGTAATACCGACCAATAACAGTTTATGGGAATCTCAGAATTGTACACAATGTTTACTTATCTAATTCTAGAATCAGAACTAGAATCCAAATACTCATTGTGAATAGAATGCTCGGAAGCAGCAATATGGCGTCCCGCTGTGAATTTGGCCAAACTACTCCTGATTTATATATGTACACTACTACTTACCCTATCGACAGTTATACCTCAGGACATTTCAGAATGTTGGATCAAGCCCCTATGGTCCTTGTATAAGGTTTATATTACAGTACTGGTTTTATTAGTCATCAGACAGGTTTTTATTAATACCTTTATAGTTAACAAGACTGTAAGATATATTTATTTCTTACTCTTGACCCAGTAAGTTCTTATCCAACATTCTTGAGACTCGGCTAGATGTAAATTAGATATTTAGACGAACATTTGAGTTACAAGTTTGACTTCGGCCTACAGTGAACACAGAGCTACAAACTCTTAGAGATTCTTGCTAAAACTTAGCTGATATCACATGAAATGCAAAAAAACAAGAACTTCCCTTAGGCAAGGCTGGCCCTACTATCTCCTTTCAGACATAGCATTTCAGAATCTCTGACATTTCCTTTAGTCTTTCAGGTGTATATAAGTATGGTGAAAATAAATATAATTGACTACTAGGTAACTAATTGGTATGAATCTACTGTAAATCCTACTTTTTTAAATGTGCAATGTATATATGTAGAAATCTTTTGAACTTGCAAACCAACTGTGATAACCCCCGAGTAGAGACATACAGTGGCTTGCGAAAGTATTCATCCCCCTTGGCATTTCTCCTATTTTGTTGCCTTACAACCTGGAATTAAAATTGATTTTTTGGGGCGTTGTATCATTTGATTTACACAACATGCCTACCACTTTGAAGATGTAAAATATTTTTTATTGTGAAACAAACAAGAAATAAGACAAAAAAAAACAGAACTTGAGCGTGCATAACACATTCACCCCCCCAAAGTCAATACTTTGTAGAGCCACCTTTTGCAGCAATTACAGCTGCAAGTCTCTTGGGGTATGTCTCAATAAGCTTGGCACATCTAGCCACTGGGATTTTTGCCCATTCTTCAAGGCAAAACTGCTCCAGCTCCTTCAAGTTGGATAGGTTCCGCTGGTGTACAGCAATCTTTAAGTCATACCACAGATTCTCAATTGGATTGAGGTCTGGGCTTTGACTAGGCCATTCCAGGACATTTAAATGTTTCCCCTTAAACCACTCGAGTGTTACTTTAGCAGTATGCTTAGGGTCATTGTCCTGCTGGAAGGTGAACCTCCGTCCCAGTCTCAAATCTCTGGAAGACTGAAACAGGTTTCCCTCAAGAATTTCCCTGTATTTAGCGCCATCCATCATTCCTTCAATTCTGACCAGTTTCCCAGTCCCTGCCGATGAAAAACATCCCCACAGCATGATGCTGCCACCACCATGCTTCACTGTGGGGATGGTGTTCTTGGGGTGATGAGAGGTGTTGGGTTTGTGCCAGACATAGCGTTTTCCTTGATGGCCAAAAAGCTCAATTTTAGTCTCATCTGACCAGAGTACCTTCTTCCATATGTTTGGGGAGTCTCCCACATGCCTTTTGGCGAACACCAAACGTGTTTGCTTATTTTGTTCTTTAAGTAATGGAGCTTTTCTGGCCAGTCTTCCGTAAAGCCCAGCTCTGTGGCGTGTACGGCTTAAAGTGGTCCTATGGACAGATACTCCAATCTCCGCTCTGGAGCTTTGCAGCTCCTTCAGGGTTATCTTTGGTCTCTTTGTTGCCTCTCTGATTAATGCCCTCCTTGCCTGGTCCGTGAGTGTTGGTGGGCGGCCCGCTCTTGGCAGGTTTGTTGTTGTGCCATATTCTTTCCATTTTTCAATAATGGATTTAATGGTGCTCCGTGGGATGTTCAATTTTTATTTTATTTTTTATAACCCAACCCTGATCTGTACTTCTCCACAACTTTGTCCCTGACCTGTTTGGAGAGCTCCTTGGTCTTCATGGTGCCGCTTGCTTGGTGGTGCCCCTTGCTTACTGGTGTTGCAGATTCTGGGGCCTTTCAGAACATGTGTGTGTGTATGTATATATGTATATACTGAGATCATGTGACACTTAGATTGCACACAGGTGGACTTTATTTACCTAATTATGTGTCTTCTGAAGGTAATTGGTTGCACCAGATCTTATTTAGGGGCTTCATAGCAAAGGGGGTGAATACATATGCACGCACCACTTTTCCGTTATTTATTTTTTAGAGTTTTAGAAATTTGGACTATTTTGTGTATATATGTTCATTACATGAAATCCAAATAAAATCAATTTAAATTACAGGTTGTAATGCAACAAAATAGGAAAAACGCCAAGGGGGATAAATAATTTTGCAAGGCACTGTATGCTTCACAGTAGTTACAATAGATTTGTGTTATGATTTCAATTTATTGTAATTGGGCATCTGAAACGAATCAAGATGACATCTTTGTTTTGAGGATGAGTCCATTTTATTAGTGAATTAGATGGGACGGACAACAAAAAGGTAAACAAATCAAAGTGAATTACTTTAATCAAATTA